TGACATCAAAACTTGATTATAATCCGAATCCAAGACACTACTTGCTCATTTTGACCTAGAGATTCATAAAGTTGCAAACTTTATGAGATCCCATCACTTAAGTCCATCTAAATCATGGAAAAAGGGGACAAAAACATGAGATCTAGCAACATGGCAAGAAAAGGTTGAGTCTTGGGTACTCACCAAGGTCTAAGGGATAAGCTTAGCTAAAGAAATGATGCTTGCCAAGTAACCACCTCACCAAAAGCTTCCTCCTCCTTCTAAAATCAACTAAAAGAACTAAGAATGAGCTTACAACTTCAATGTAGGCTAGGGTTAGGGTTTCTAAGGTTGGTAGGAAGATAGAGGCTGAAACCTTAGCCTTAATGTTCCTTATATATGGTCCAAGACTCGAGATTAGGGTTTTCACTTAAAACACTTGCCATATCATGATGCCTATTGACCACGTCGTGGAAGATCATTTAAATCCCATGGTCGAAACTGATACTTCATGTCGTGGTGAAGCTCCACCATGTCGTGGCCACCCATTTTAAAGAAAATATAAGAAGGTTGATTCATACATGGATCAGATGTTGTAAGGATAATCGCATTGCACACACCAGGATTTACCGCTTTACCAACTCGGATTTACTTTTGGATGATTATTGATATACTCTAATTTTCTTATGGTTTTGATAAACCTTTTTGGTTGATGTTTTATTAGTATGAAAACAAAAAATTTTGGTTCTGAGTTTTGGGACATTACATATGATCAAATATCTAGACTTACCAGTTTATGTATTACCATGCAATGATCATGCACAAGTTTAACACTAAATTGATAGTGAGCACAAATTGGACTATGGATGATAAAAGTTACTTTCCTATGATTAAGTTAAGCAACCAAGCACAAATTAAGATTGATTATGCTCTCTAACACGATTAAAGTTACTAGTTTTAATTACCTAGTATGAAATGTGATTAATCCTAGCTCTAATTATTTAATGATCATAAACAATTAGGAAAACAAGTTTATGCAAATATAAATATCATCTACTAAACTAAACTCATATCAAGGCATTCAAAGACTAGAGCTAAACATGATAGGGTTTGTCAAGCATAAGTATAATCAATATAAAACATCCAATATTCTAAATAAACACATATGATCAGGGTTCATCTTCACCAAACAAAAGTATGGGGTGATTAGCCCATAACTAAATAAGAAACAATCAATAAATCTAATTTAATTAGAAAATACATTGTAAAATCTAGCAAAACGAACGATTTGATGATGTTATTCCTTTAATTCTTTTCAATTCTTGCAATCTAATCGATTCCTAGCCTTCTCCAGGTTTTCCGGAGGTTTTTAGTCATAAATCAAAGCTTATTCCTCAAACCAACCTCCCAAATTCGACCTAATATCCACATATTTATAGTTGCCATATATCTGACCACCACGATGTGGTTGACCGCCACCACTTCCTGGTCTTCTATGAAATCTCGTATGCGGCAAGTCATCAAAGCTTCTACACTAAGACACGTGGCCATGTTGTGGCCTTGAGATCACCACATCGTGGCATGCAAAACTTCACGACTTCTCTTCCAATTCCACACTGCTGCTAACTTTGGCCTCCAAGATTTTAACTTTTTCCATCTTTGGTCCCTTTCCTTCAACATTTTCCTTTTTGGCTACATATTGTTATTTAACTTAATAAGTACCAAATATCTTTGCAATTAACCAAAATACAGCTTAAAATGTATTAAAATACTAACTAAATATATGTATAAATATGGGCATATCAGTCACTAAACCAAAACCTTCTTACTAGAAGCATCATCGGTGATGTATTTCAATTCAAGGGTGTCTTAGAATTCCTTAGCAGTTAAAGCATCACCCTGGATATCAAATAGAGCATCATACATATCGTTCAAGATGTGAACTTTGCAGATGTAGTCATTGTTGTCCCACTTTTGCCTTTTCTTGGTCTCTTCAAGTGTCTCATCAACACCTTTCTCCGCCTTAGGTGGTCTTGGAGTTGTCAACACAATTGTTGCTTTCAGAGTGGTCAGGATGAAGTGCATCTTCTTCTTCCAATGCCTGAAATCGACACCTTCAAACTTCTCTAGTTTTGCGAACTTCGTGGTTATCTTGCATATTGAATCATCCATCTCCAGAAACAGCGAATATCAGTTCATTTGTTAGAAAATTGGGTAGAGTTTATAATGGAGATTTGTATACCCTTTGGATCGTGTAAACACTCTCCGAACTGATATTTCTACCCTATGCCCAGGTTACAAGAAATTCAGCCTAGGATAATCCTAATGGGACACATATGTATCTAGGCATAGAAAACGTAAGACAAATTGCTAGATAATTCTGAGTTCGTATGAAGAAAAACAAGACCTAAAGAGTACCCCCCCTTCAAAGAGGAGAGTCATTTTATATAGAAAACAAGATGTAAAATTTTCGTTTTTAGGGTTAGCCATCATCGGTTTCTTTGGAAACAAATCAATGGGTTCCGGAATTAGGAAATCAATGGTTTACAAAACTAACAATCTTAGTCAATTTTACCATAATCACCCTCAAGAATTTGATTTTTCCACTACGTACCTACTTGTAAAATCCGAAGAATTTTTTTTGGCCGATGCCCCAAACCTGCGGGGGCGCTGCCCCTAGACCCCGCCAAAGGGTCGTTCCCCCTTTGGAAACCCCGAATCTAGGGGTGTTGCCCCTGGACCCCAGACTTGTCATCGAACCAGCTTCTAATTCCATCTTATACATGCGTGCACTATACATATTCCCAAACATATATTAGAGTACAAATTACGAAGCCCTTAGCTCACATGTAAGTTCTAATTACAATATATGTCCTGGTGACACTAAAATCTCCAACAATGTGTATGATGAAAATTAAAATCTTGTAGTTCTTTGCCTTAAATTTAAACAAAATTTAAACAACATAAAGATATTAAATGGTATTTTAAGGAGTTAAAGTTGTTGACAAAGAAATTTGTGGTTGAGGAACATTTGGTTTGGACTAAAACTATGTATTATCTCTATGTGTTTGGGCACCTAATGCTTTCAAGATGGTTACAAGTACTTGAAGACATGTAATGTTTATGGATGTAGATCAAGAAGGGGCTATTTGTTGTGGGAGGGTATGTATTAAAACGATGTTAAAGTCCATTATTTCAAGGTTGATAGAGGTTATAATTGAAAACACAAGATATAATGTTTGGGTATGTGAAATATAGGGTATATATTAGATCAAGAAGGGGCTATTTGTTGTGGGGAGCATGCAGTTCACTGTAACGAACTCCCGGAGTTCAAATACAAGCACAATATGGTTACGGATGTCTTGTTTGATATATTTAAGCGTGATGGGGTTTCCGCTAAGAAAGAGGCACCTGTTAATTTCTTGACTGACCTGACAGAAGGAAGGTCGACCCTCAGACCGGCTAACATTCTGATTTTTGGATGGGTCGGAGAGAAACATGCATGTGTGGATCTTACAGGGGTATCCCCTCTCGTGGGCCTGAGGGCTGGGGGTTTCACAACGGGACATGCTGCTTCAAAAGCAGCTACAAGCAAAATCACCAAACATGAGAGATCGTGCCTGGAAAATCAACACGTGTTTATACCATTTGCATTTGATACGTTTGGTTTCCTCGCACCGGATGCGGTAGAGCTTCTTAAAAGAGTACAACGAATCACGCATAATAACGTTATATCCCCTAGATCTTCGGATGTAGTCTTTAAAAAAATTAGTTTTACCATTCAAAAAGGCTTAGCGACATAGTTTGTTGCATGTTTGTCATCTCACTCATTGTACGATGACTATTAAAAACTATATTTATATGATGTAGATTGATATGGTAATATATATATATATATATATATATATATATATATATATATATATATATATATATAAATGGGAAAAGTGAATATACCCTTAAGGGTATATACGCTTAAGTACCCAAACTCACTGTAATACATTATTTTGTTTGATATATTTATTATAATGCTCTTCAACTTCAATCCTTGACTTGATTTACTTTCAAGATTTTCAAAATTTCATTATTATATTCCTGTTACATTACATATTTTTGACGAACATCAGTTAGGCTATATATATTATAGTTGAAAATGAAAATTATGTAAAAGGAAAATAAATGTGAAATTTATAAAAATCTTTGAATGAAATCAAGTTAGAAGTTGAATTATAAGAACATTAGACAATTACAACGTGTATATATATATATATATATATATATATATATATATATATATATATATATATATATATATATATATGATACAAAACGACGTAGTATGGTGAGTTTGGGTACCTAAGCTTATATACCCTTAAGGGTATATTCACTTTTCCATATATATATATATATATATATATATATATATATATATATATATATATATATATATATATATATATATATATATATATATATATATATATATATATATATATATATATATATATATATATATATATATATATATATATATATATATATATATATATATATATATATATATATATATATCAGATGGGTGCCTAATATAGGAAAAAATGTGCAAGAAGGTGAGATATGTGTACATTGGAAAACCATAATGAGGATCTGCATCGTTATCGTAAAGAACAAACTCATTTTTATAGCATGTGCTTTCATGTGTCCGATCCCCATAGTCAAACATATTAGTCAACTGATTGCTTCAACTCATTTCCAATTAACAAAAATTTCCACCCAAACGATGATACACCTAACGATTTCCATGAGACCGAGTCCACTCACTAGACAATCTTTTTACAATATGTAAATTATTTTGAACATCAAAAACTATCAAAATTATTTTGAACATACGTGTTATTTTGCATTAACTTTGCTAACCACAACTCGAACCAAATCAACATAATCTATATTTGCTTGCAAATCTATACCATATTTACCCCATTTCAATATTATCTATTACATAACACCATTTATTTTTTGCCATGTTCCTCCAGGTATGCAAAACACCTCTATATTATTGTCATGTTTAATCCATTAACGATTTTGTTTAGGTTCTAAGTTGTGTTTTCTAAAACATTGTCTCTTAGCAAATGATAAAGCAGTTTTGAAATTTCAAAGTAAATATACTTATTTTGAAAAATGTCTTGCCACTAGGGCTGTAAACGAACCAAACGAATACGAACAAGATCTTGTTCATGTTCGTTCGTTTAAGTTAGCCGAACAACAAACGAACACGAACGGATAAACGAACGAAATTTTCTTGTTCATGTTCGTTCGTTTAACAAATTACTTTGTTCATGTTCGTTCATTTATGTTCGTGAACATGCTAAACGAACATAAACGAACAAACGTAAACAAACAAAGATAAAAAAAACACAATTGAACATATATGAACATAAACGAACATATAATATAGCAATATAATAAAAAATAATTAATATATATGAATATAAATAAACTTAAACGAACGAACATAAACAAATGTAAACAAACATCATAAACGAACGTTCACGAACATAAATGAACGAACGAGACCATTGTTCATGTTCGTTCATTTAACTAAACGAACAATAATTTTTGTTCATGTTCGTTGATTTATTAAATAAACGAACATAAACGAACTTCCCGCCGAACAGTTCACGAACGGTTCGTCGAACGTTCAGTTCGTTTACAGCCCTACTTGCCACCATCATATAATCGAAAAGTTTTACACGTGTTCAGATTTTTGAAGTAAAAAAAGAAAAGAAAAAAAAAAAACAAATCCAAAAATCAATTTATTTTAAAATTTTAAAATAAAATGTATGGTGCATTGACTTATAGTTTTTACCTCTTGAAATTTGACAAAGTAATTTCATAATGTTCGAAAGTATGTAGCAAAAAGTATGTAATATGAGAAGTGATTTGTAAAAAAAAATAAAAAAATTATACATAATTAATTTATGTTTTATAAAATTAAATGATATAATATTTTAAATTATAAATTGTTATATATAGAAAAAAAATTATTATGTTTAAATTGGTTCCATATAATATCTCTTTGATTTTATTGTAACTATGGTCTATATCTCTTTCTAATAATATTTTTCTCAAAAAAAAAAAAAAAGAAACAGGTAAACCTAAGATTTAAATATAGAATTTTCAAATGGAGATATAATTTACTAAAGGGGAAAGGAATTTCTTTCATAATATTGTGTTTCCCCAACCATATGAGCATCAAGTCTAATTACTATATTACCCCTAGGTGTTAATCCGCCAAATGTTTGTGTTTTGACGCGTTGAGCTCTCCACGTCAATGGTTTTCAAAATCCTTTACTATGCCAACAACCCACCGTATTTGAATTTTGATCATATTGTATTATATAATTACATATTTATCCTTTACCCATACGCAAATACAAAAATGGAATCCAACCAAACCAAAAAACACCGACTTAATTTGCTGGCGTTATTAGGTTTTAATGCATTTGTAGCATGTAGGGCTGAAAAAATCAAAAAATCTATTAGGGAAGGGTACTTTTTGTAATATGGCCAAATATTAGGGGAGGTTAGTGCAACATTTTCTAGCGATTTAAAACGTAAGTTTACGAGAGGGACGCTAAGTGTCATTATTATATATCTCAAGGGCAAATCAAGCACTTTCCACAAGTATATAAACCTGTCCCCGCTTTCACTGATTTATCCCACACATTACTTGACAGATCTCTGTAAGAGAAGCAAACACTCCCTCTGACGTCTGATTCACGATCAATCGATCTAAGAGGTAACAATTCGGCTCATGATTGTTTATAGTTGACTGAATTTTCGTCTTTTATCTGTTATTTGTCAATTATTGATGCGAATTGAGTTGTCGGTGATCTAGAGGAACGGATCTATCATTTACTGTTTGAGTGTGGTATTAATCCTTATGTTTCTTCGATTATATCAATTTCTCGTGAAGTTAATCGAGTGTTTATGCAAGATCCTTTTAATTTAGTGCTGTTTATGAACTGAATTTTGGTTTGGTTTGTGTAAATCGGAAGTTTTTGCGTTAGATCTGTGATTTATGTGTCGATTATAAATGCGGTGAAGGATATTTACTTGTAATTGAATTACAGTTTTTAAATCTTACTAATTTATTCAGCTGTTCATATTGTAGCAGATCTGAGTGTTCTCTTCCATGCAATACTATATATTCAGCTGTCTAAGTTGATAAACACAAATATAAATCTTCTGTCGGTTTGAGTTTTCTAGGTTTTCAGGAACAGTAAATTTAACCGAAATTCTTCTCTATAATTAGCGTTCCATGTTCAATTACATGTATCTTATCTTCAATACGAATATCCATCTTTGTTTAATGTATGAAACTGCTAGCTAGATCACGAAATTAGGAGAGGGTTTAGTCAGTAAACATTTTTCCTCCATACATGTTCGCAATTGTATTCATGAATGCAGACCTTTTTGCACAATTTTTCATTACATATGTTCTGATTCCGATTTCAGATTCCTGGTTTACTGAAACAAATAGAAATGCTGAAGATCTGTTGCATTGGAGCTGGATACGTGGGGGGACCCACAATGGCAGTGATAGCATTGAAATGCCCCAACATTCAAGTGGCGGTGGTGGACATTTCTGTCCCCCGTATCACCGCCTGGAACAGCGACACTCTCCCGATCTACGAGCCAGGCCTAGACGATGTGGTAAAGCAATGCAGAGGCAAAAACCTCTTCTTCAGCACCGATGTAGAAAAACACGTATGTGAAGCCGACATAGTCTTCGTCTCAGTCAACACCCCAACAAAAACCCGCGGCCTCGGCGCCGGAAAAGCCGCCGACCTCACATACTGGGAATCCGCCGCCCGCATGATCGCTGACGTGTCAAAATCCGACAAAATCGTCGTCGAAAAGTCAACCGTCCCGGTCAAAACCGCCGAAGCCATCGAAAAAATCCTCACACACAACAGCAAAGGAATCAATTTCCAAATCCTCTCAAACCCCGAGTTTCTTGCGGAAGGAACCGCAATCCAAGACCTTTTCCACCCCGATCGCGTCCTCATCGGAGGACGCGAAACGCCAGGTGGACAAAAAGCAATCCAAACGTTAAAATCCGTGTACGCGCACTGGGTGCCAGAAGAAAACATCATCACAACAAATCTATGGTCCGCCGAGCTTTCGAAACTCGCCGCCAACGCGTTCTTAGCCCAACGCATCTCCTCCGTGAACGCCATGTCAGCGTTATGCGAAGCCACCGGCGCTAACGTGTACCAAGTCGCGTACGCGGTTGGAAAAGACACGAGAATCGGTCCGAAGTTTTTAAACGCGAGCGTTGGATTCGGTGGCTCATGTTTCCAAAAAGATATTTTAAATTTGGTTTACATATGCGAATGCAATGGTTTACCTGAAGTTGCGGAGTATTGGAAACAAGTGATTAAAATTAACGACTACCAGAAGTCGCGATTTGTAAACCGTGTTGTCGCGTCGATGTTCAACACGGTTTCGAATAAAAAAATCGCGATACTGGGGTTCGCGTTTAAGAAGGATACGGGGGATACGCGTGAGACACCCGCAATTGATGTGTGTAAAGGGTTGTTGGGGGATAAAGCGTGTGTGAGTATATATGATCCGCAAGTTACGGAGGATCAAATCCAACGGGATTTGACTTTGAATAAGTTTGATTGGGACCATCCGATTCATTTGCAACCGATGAGTCCAACCGCGGTTAAACAGGTGGCGGTTGTGTGGGATGCATATGAGGCGACGAAGGGTGCGCATGCGATTTGTATTTTGACTGAGTGGGATGAGTTTAAGAGTTTGGATTATCAGAGGATTTATGATAATATGCAGAAACCAGCTTTTGTTTTTGATGGGAGAAATGTTGTGGATCTTGAGAAGTTGAGGGAGATTGGGTTTATTGTTTACTCGATTGGGAAGCCGTTGGATGCTTGGCTTAAGGACATGCCTGCTATTGCTTAAAACTAAAACGACGTCATTTTCGGTTCGTTTCGTTTCTTTTTAAGTAGGTAAAAAAAGTGATCTCCTTTTCGTATATCTGTCTTTTTTTTAAGAAACTTTATGTTTTACTTTTTACATTACATTACACTGTGTATCAGATTTTGAGCAAAGTATTGTGTAAGAGATGATATTGTTGAGTTCTTGGACTATTCGTTTTATATAACATATCCTTAATTTTGTGAATTTTATAATTGAGACCTCATAGTGCTATAGTGCTATGGCTCCTTTTTATCCAAAGAAACCTAATCTTCATCAAATTCTTCCAATGGCAATCTCACAATAATAAAGGTCGAATCCACCTGGAAAAAAAAAAAAAAAAAAAAAAAAAGCAATTTTTTTTTGGTTGAAATTGCATCACAATCATTGATACCACTTGAAAGAACACGGTTTGAAGAAAAGTTGCAGAAACATTCAACAAATATGGGTTATAAAGATAATAAAAACATAATTGGTTTGCCTCAAAGTTTGTTCATTAATTTCCACTAAAGAGAAAAATGATGGATATTAGAAAAATTAGTCCATTAATTGGTTTGCATTATCAGTTTAGAAATGCTCATTTGAATGGATTGGAAAGCTTTACAGCAATTAAGTTATCAATCCTAAGTATATGAAACTTCAAAAAAGTAAGTAAAAATTAAAACACATAAACATATGGGAAACGTTGAAGTTGTATTTCATATGATATGCTTGACAAAACAATACAAAAAAATGTATTTTATATGGTGTACTCTACGAAAATACAAAGAAATTGAATGTATGTCGTAAAAATTGTATTGTGGGCCTTTGAAGTTTTGGGTTGCAATAAAATAAGTTAAGTATTTCAGACAAATATCAAAAATAAACTTCGGTGAATTTGCAGAATTAAAACTTCTAAAAAAACATAAAATCAAAGAAACACAATATTTAACATGATTTGGTTAAAGTGACCTACATCCACAGGTAAACGAGAGAGGGAGAGGATTTTATTAACTTTAAAAAACAATTACAATCACACACAAAGCTTATACCTAACTTGAGCTCTCAAAATAAAAGAATCTCTCTTGCTTACTAACTTCTCCAAATGAGTGCTCTCAACCTCACAATGATTACTCTGTTGAAATTTCTGCACACTTACAATGATGGAGATATGAAACTATTTATAGGCAAGCATGTGAAACCTTAATATGATGGGTCAGACCCCATCCATAATTAACCCATTAAGGGAATGCCCTAATTTTCCAACCAATCACGGGGTGCCTTGCAGACACTTTTAGAACCTTCAACCTCATGAGCATCACCAACTTCCGAATAACCTTGAACAATTTGAGCATCATAGAGGACTTCATAGCATACGTGGCTCATCGGGGTTATCATGGTTCATCAAGGAACCAAGATGACGCAGTTGGCCATCACCAGTTGATCATCACCAGAAAAAAGATGGCGTAACTTGTGCACAAGTTGCTCCATTTCACTCCCAAGTGCTCCAAATCCTCTTCCAGACGATCCGTACATATGACACTTGATTTTTTCCTTTGTCAGATGATCCATTGCCTTCTCAGATGATTCGTTCCTTTTTACATGATCCATGAACCCCAAGTACTCCATTGAGTTCCAAGTTGCTCCAAGTGGCTCCAAGTTATTCCATTGCAACCCTAAGTGATCTACTTGATTCTAAATGCTCCATGTTGAACTAGACTTCATACCCCAACAATCTCCCACTTTAAGGCTTGAACAACTTCATCTACCATTCAAAGGTTTTCATCATTCTTTTTTCTTTCTCTCTCTCTCTCTCTCCCCTCTCTATCTCTCTTGCACTCTCTCTATGCCGACCCCTGTCCTCAAAATCTTGGAAGGGAAACTGAAGCCATGCCTAGCTTCAACTTTTCAGTGGTAAACACCTTAGTACATTCATTTACTGAGTTCTCCATACTAAGGACTTTTTTCAGCTTAGTAGCCCATTGGTTCGTTGTCTTGAACTCTCTGGTCAGTCGCATCTTAAGCTCATTGATATTTTGCGTGTTGAAACCAACAATCAACACGGAATCAAAATTCAATGTGAGGAACTTAACTTCTTCAAGTAACAACCATGATCAACTCCACGTTTTCTAAACCCAATCCTCTTCATGATCTTATCAAACTTCAAGTACCATTGCTTACAGTTTGCTTCATGATATATAGGTTTTCTTTCTTCTTGAACAAAAACTTTTTATTACCGGCTGTAAGAGCACTTCCTGATTGTGCCTTCCAGATGTCTCCTTCCAGGTTATCATCAAGTAGATTACTTGTATTTACATCTAGATTCTCTAGATGGAGATTTTTAGAGGCTACTGCATGCAACATAGAAGTGATTGTAGTCATCTTTGCAACTGGAACCCTTTTTCTTCTGTTGGATTCCCTTGACCATCAATCTTCCCTTGCAAGTTTTACCCCCATCTATCTCATCCTTAACCTGAAACATTTGACTGTTCTGCAGTCCGCTCAACTTGTCATCCATAACCTTCTCCCACTGTATGGAGTTCATCCTCACGGATTTTGGTTTTGACCCATTCTCACACATCAACAAGTCATTGGTTGATGGAGAATGCCTCACTAGAGTATTTTGCTTAATGGTCCTCTTGATAATAGGTGGTTTGAACTTTGGAACACCTACAACTCCACCCTCATAATTATTATCACCAAAGCTCCCATTCTTTTCAGGTTTATCAGAGCTCCCACTGCTTCTTGAATATTTGCTTATCCTTTGACATTCAACCTCACGAGCCTTGATAATATTGACAGCAGTTAGAAGCTCAATAGGAGGTGCTAAGATGACATTCAACCTCATAAGCATCACCAACTTCTGAGCAACCTTGAACAATCTTAAGCATAATAAAGGAATTCATAGTATATGTGGCTCATCAGGGTTACCATAGTTCATCAAGGAACAAATAGGCATAACATGATGCTTGATGGCGCAACATGTTGCTAGTTGACCATCACCAAAACCAAATGGTGCAACATGTTGCCAGTTGACCATCACCAACCATCACCAGAAAAAAAAAAAAGAGTGAAGTATTTTTAGTTTTTAGTTTTTATTCTAAATTCTTTTTAAGGTCATCTACATCTGTCACAACTAGCATTTTTAACTAGGAAATTTTGTTTTCATGTAAACATCAACTCTTGTAAAACTTGTAATCTAAGTGGATATCATGTATATGCTCAATCAAAGACATGAGTTTGAATCAAAACTCCTGAGTGAAGTCCAAAACCTAATTTAATTCTCAGATACTCAATTGTGGGTTTGAAACCCTAATGTTCCGGTTCAAACTCAGCATGGACCAGGATCCTCTTATTAGGCCTAATGGGCCAGTAAACTTTTCATTTGATTATTTTGGGCCAAGGAACCCTATTTGGTTTGTAATTGGATCCACATTCATCAAACCATAACATTTGGGCTATGTTGGGCCTAAAATAACTCGCTTTATTATCATGGGGCTAATGGGCCATAAATGGATTCTTAAAGCCTAATGGGTCGTAAACTCCTCTCTTTTTATTGTTATTGGTTTGTAAACCCATCAACGGGCACATGGGCCGAAATTTCAATATTAGACCCTATAACATTCGAATATATTCACTTATGGCTCAAACTCTTCTTTCTCTTTTCCTTCCCCCACCCCCCCTCATTCTCGGTTATATATAAAAAATGTTTAATTAATTCCAAGGATGACACATAATATTTGCATGGAGGATATCCATGCAAATTATCCTACAAATACTTATGCAATCTCAAGTATCCATAAACATCACATCTCATCTCTCTTTTCTCACTTTTCTCTTCTCTCTTTCTCTCTTCTTATTCTCAGCCTAAGGCCATTCTTCCTCATCAAGATTATTCAAACTGCATTTCACTCCTAAACCCTCAAGAACTCCTCCCTTTTTCTTTCATAAACCGTAAGTGGAGGTGTGTGTGAACAAGAAGGCTCTTCAAAGTCACATACTAGGTAAGATATTTCACTCTTACCTTCGATAAATCCATCTTATGTCTAGATCTTCATCAAAACATCTCAAATCTTGTGTTTATACTCCTAGATCATCATACTTTTCGAGGAACCTCTCAAGAAAGTGTGCTAGGCCGAAACCTCTTCCAATCTTCTACCAAAAACCGAAATATTCAAACCAATGTGAGTTCATACCCCCTATTTTCGGTTTTTACTATGTTTTGGGGAGAATACAAGTTGTTTTGTGTAGATCTATATATGTATGCATGATTTGGTGTGTTTTTCATGATATATGTGTGGTTATGTGTTATAAACTCCACGAACTTGAAGATCTACTAAAATTAGGGCTGTAAACGAACCAAACGAACACGAACAAGGTCTTGTTCATGTTCGTTCGTTTAAGTTAGCCGAATAACAAACGAACACGAACGGATAAACGAACGAGATTTTCTTGTTCATGTTCGTTCGTTTAACAAATTACTTTGTTCATGTTCGTTCATTTATGTTCGTGAACATGCTAAACGAACATAAACGAACAAACATAAACGAACAAAGATAAGAAAAAAAAACACAATTGAACATATATGAACATAAACGAACATATAATATAGCAATATAATAAAAAATAATTGAATATAGATGAATATAAATAAACTTAAACGAACAAACATAAACGAACGAACATAAACGAACGATAATTTTTGTTCATATTCGTTCATTTATTAAATAAACGAACATAAACGAGAAGTTCGTTTATGTTATTATGCATAGAAAAAGAAAAGGTTTTAAATTACATCAAAGTTACTTAAAACCAAGAAATTTGCACAAAAGGGCCAAAAATGACAAAATAACCAAAAATGATGTATTTATATATAACTCATGGTTTTTAAGGGACCAAGAGAGATATATTTTGATAAATATGAATCTTTATGGTATTTGTGATCTTAAAAATGGCTAGGAGTGTAAAAGTTCATAAATGGACTTCTTTTGGGCTTTTACGACATT